AATTATTTAAATTCAAGAGAAGTCACAATAAGTCTGTCTAACTTAACAACAAATACAGTAACCATTCCACCAAAATCAACACTTTGTGAGTTACAGCCCGTTACAATTGCAGATGATGTTATTGAAAGAGTTGAAGAAGAAGAATTAGAAAAGAAGAGAAGGAAGATAGTCACAGAATTGAACATTGATCAGGACAACATCCTTGATAAACTACAACAAGAGAAACTTAGAGAATTATTGATGAGACATAAAGACATCTTCAGTACAAGTGACACAGATATTGGACAATGTAATAGGATTAAACATAGGATCGACCTGATAGACCCAACTCCCTTTAAACAGAGGCATAGAAGAATCCCGCCATCTATGGTTGATGAGGTTAGAGCCCATCTTGAACAACTTTTGTCTTCCGGAGTGATACGACCATCCAAATCCCCTTTCGCATCACCAATAGTCTTAGTTAGAAAGAAAAATGGAAAGATTAGACTCTGCGTAGATTATCGCAAGCTCAATGAAAGAACTGTCAAGGATTCTTATGCCTTACCGAGAATTGAGGAAGTACTTGACTCTCTGCATGGAGCCCGCTACTTTACTACCATTGACATGAAGAGCGGATACCATCAAGTTGAGGTTGAAGAGTCACATAAAGAGCGGGCAAGTTTTACAGTTGGACCATTGGGATTCTACGAATATAACAAAATGCCTTTCGGTCTTACTAATAGCCCAGCAACATATCAACGTCTCATGGAGGATTGTTTAGGAGATATGAATTTGAAGACTTGTATAATTTACCTGGATGATTTGATAATATATAGTAACACATTTGAGGAACACCTTGAAAGATTGGACCAAATATTGACTAGATTGAAGGAATGTGATCTGAAACTTGCACCAGAGAAGTGTTTCTTTTTCAAGGAAAGAGTTAACTTTCTTGGACATGTTGTCAGCAAGGATTGTATAGAGACAAGGATGGTATAGAAAGGAAGAATTCTGCATTCAAGGTCGAATTCTTAGCTTTAAAATGGGCAATAACCGACAAGTTCAGATGTTACCTAGCAGGAAAACATTTCAAATGCTATACTGATAACAACCCTTTGACACACATTCTGACATCCCCAAAATTAGACGCTACAGGACAGCGATGGGCTGCAGCCTTAGGGGAGTTCGACTTCGAAATTCTTTACCGTCCTGGTACAAGCAATGTAGATGCAGATGCTCTAAGTCGATATCCCTATCAAAAGGTTAATGATGATGAAGAAGAGAGAATCAAGATGGATACAGAGGTGGTTAGGACAATTTGTAGTGCACTGATGACATCGCAGCCATTAATTGACACTTTACCAGCAATGAATCTGAACTTGGTTGAAATAACAGAAGATCCCGGAACACCAATGGCCCAAATTGAGATGAGGGAGATCAGGCGTAAACAGATGGAAGATCCAATTATTAGTAAATGGAGAATTGCAGTGATAGATGGACAAGTCATTGAAAAGACATTTACCAAAGAAGACCAGATAATGAAGAGGAATTTCAAGAGTTTTAGGATGAAAAGAGGTATTTTGTTTAGGGAAATAGAAGATAATGAGGAAAAGATTGAACAATTGGTAGTTCCTGATTGTTATAGACAAGACATCTTAAAGGGCATGCACACAGACATTGGCCATCCTGGTATAGAACGAACTACAAGACTAATTCGTCAGCGTTTCTTTTGGCCAGGAATGACTTCATGTATAGAGAACTGGGTTAAACAATGTGACAGATGCTTACGAAGAAAGTCAGCCACTAACATCCGTGCACCTTTAGTCAACATCAATACAACATACCCCTTGGAATTAGTATGCTTTGATTTCTTATCATTAGAAACATCAAAGGGAGGCTACTCAAACATTCTTGTCATCACTGATCATTTCAGCAAATTCGCAGTAGCAGTACCAACAAGAAATCAGACGGCCAAGACTACAGCAGACGCATTCTTTACCAACTTTATTGTTAAATATGGTATTCCAACTCGTCTTCACTCAGATCAGGGAGCTAATTTTGAAAGTGAATTAATAAAAGAATTATGTCAACTCATGAACATTAAGAAATCACACACAACAGTTTACCACCCACAAGGAAATTCGGGTCCAGAGCGGTTTAACCGGACATTGCTAAGCATGCTGGGAACACTGGAGAACTCACAGAAACCTGACTGGAAAAAATACATAGATCCATTAGTCTTCGCTTATAATTGTACCCCACATGAATCTACAGGAATTTCGCCCTTTGAATTGATGTTCTTAAGGAAACCAAAACTACCAATAGATGCTATGTTTGAATTGGCAGGAGAAGAACCAGAAACAAGAAACACTCAGGAATACATTGAAGAACTTAGAGAAAGGATGAAGAAAACCAGAGAGATAGTACAGTCTTGTGTAGGAAAAGCTAAAGAGAAACAGAAATACTACTATGACAAGAAGATTAGAGGAGTTAAACTAGAGAAAGGAGATCAAGTTTTAGTCAAGATATTATCTAGAGGAGAAGGAAAACATAAATTAGCAGACAAATATGAAGAGGAACTGTTTACAGTAATAAGGCAACCTATAGAAGACATACCAGTATTTGAATTGGAAGGAAATGAAACAGGAAAGGTCAGAAAGCTGCACCGCAATCATTTATATCTGGTGGACTACCAGGTGAAGAAAAAAGAAGGTGGTGAAGTGAAAGATGACAACGAAGAAATAGAAGTTACAGAAGACAGAAATGAAATGGATGCATCCAAAGAAGTGAGAGAAGGTGACGTCACCAGTGAGAGTTCTGACAATGAGGATGGTGTTTTGCTTGTCCCACAGACAGTTTTACACGGGGACGCCCGTGAGCCAGAGACTCAGAGTCAGGTAGTGATAGAAGATCCAGAGACTCAGAGTCAGGTAGAGATAGAAGAGCCAGAGACTCAAAGTCAGGTAGAGATAGAAGAATCGAGCATCGAAGAACAGCCAGACATTGGTATAACACAAACCAATATTGATAGAGCTGAAGGTGATGAAGTTCATCATGAAGAAGATGATCTTAATAATACAGGTATGGTATGTCAAGAACCTCTACATATAGATGAAACAGATACACAAGAAGACACAGTAACAACTACACAAGACACTACAGAAGAACAAGAGAATATTGACAACACAGTAGAAGATGTCATACCGAAAAGAAAGAGAAGACGAACATTACCCACAGAGCCAACAAGACGCTCAGAAAGACATCGCAAGGCACCGGAGAAATATAATGAGTATGTCATGTTTGGAATTCAAAGGCGAGCTTTCGATAAGAAACTTCATGCTCTTCGTGCCATTACATTTTCAGGTGTCCTTGATAATGTTGATGAGGATGTTGCAAAGAAAGTAATAGATGTAATTTTGAAGTAGTAGCTTCATTTTATGTTATTTTGTATTGTCAAGTGTTGAGATATTAAATTGTATTTTATTATTTTTTTTACCTGATTTTTGCTATACATTTTAAACTATATAGGTTCATCAGCGAGGACGCATTATTTTGACAGAGGGGAGGAAAAGTAATGAAATGTTCATTTTGTGTTTTTCTTTACAGGTGTGTCTGTATATAGATATGTATTTTTACAGGTTTATCTGTATTTACATATGTCCCTTATTACAGGTTTGTCTATATTATCATATGTCTTTTATTACAGGTTCGTCTGTATTCACATATGTGAGTGTATTATGTTACATGCTTAATATGTATTATGTTTATCATAATAAATAAAAGTACTATTGTCAAACAAGCAATTATCATAGTATTGCAAGCAATCCATAAGTCCCCTACCGGTAAGAGCCCAAGCAACATTCTGAAGGGCCATTGGCCATTCACTTATGTTCCTATTTTAAGTAAATTTGTTGAAAAAGTTCTTTAAAAGTGATCACAGGAAACAGTTTTTATGTACAGACAGACGGACTGAAGGACACTCTAAAGTTATTTTTTAAACATCCCTGTCATAAAAATATAACATTTTTAAAATCCTATCATGATTGAAGAAGTTGGAGTAAAAATTACCAATTTCACAAAAAAAAGTCTAAGTTCAAAAGGGGCATAATTCTGGAAATAGTCTTGCTAGAGTATTGAACACTCACAAATGTTGAGTGATAATAAAAAACATTTATATGAAGTTTGAAGTAGATACATTCAGAAAAAGAAGTTATTAAAAAAAACAATGTTTTTTTCATGAAAATTTTAAGTTTAAGGGAGGTAATTCTGATAAATTTTGTGCTAGAGTTGTAAACCTAGTCACATATGATGTGGTTGATGACAAACAACTTATATTTAAAGTTTGAAGAAAATACCTTAAGAAATAAAGAACTTAGTGAAAACATAGTGAAAAAACTTAAAAACTAGAATCAGAAATCTTGAAATTCAGTCTATTTGTTGCCATAGCAACCAGAATTTTCAACATAGGAAGATAAGAAAAGGATGTGCATAATTTCCATACTGCCATCTACCCATATGTCAAGTTTCATAAACATATTTTCAGTACTTTTTGTGTTATCACTGGATCCAGGTTATGTGTAAAATTTGCCATATTTTCAGTCTATTTGTTGCCATAGCAACCAGAAATTTCCAACATAGGAAGAAAAAAAAAGACGTGCATAATCTCCATATTGCCATCTATCCATATATCAAGTTTCATAAAATATTTTCAGTACTTTTTGCCTTATTGCGGGATCCAGGTTATGTGTAAAATTTGCTATATTTTCAGTCTATTTGTTGCCATAGCAACCAGAATTTTCAACATAGGAAGAAAAGAAAAAGACGTGCATAATCTCCATACTGCCATCTATCCATATATCAAGTTTCATTGAAATATTTTCAGTACTTTTTGCGTTATCGCGAGATCCAGTTTTGTGGACGGACGGACTGACAGACGGACGGACTGACGGACAGACAGACGGACAGACGGACGGAGGGTAAACCTAAAGTCCCCTCCGGTAAACCGGTAGGGGACTAATAATTGTTTATCATTGAGTTTATCGTAAAGGTTTATCGCGCGTGATTTGCAATCGCGTCGTTTGAAAATAAAACTTTAAGAGAATATCGCTTGTTGTATCACACAATGAACGATTTATTTACACAAGATATAAATATAATATCAATTATTATACAAAACAATAAATGATTAATATACTAAAGGTATAAATGCTTATCAGTTGATAGTATTGTAGAGTTAGAAAAGTTGATAGCATTAGATGTAGCAGCGTCATTGTAGTGACGTTGAACCACGACATTTCATGACATCATTGGTGACATCATAGTACTTGACGACAGACATTATGATAGGACAATGACGGGACGTCATTCTAGAAAGAGGGGAAGTGTGTAACCAGTTCGTGTTTTTGATCTTTTCGTTTATTTTAAACTTTTCACATTTTAGTTTTACAGAGTTGTCTATAATCTCCCTTTCATTGTAAATTTGAGTGATTAGTCAAGCATTTGAATTCCCGCTGTTTTTGAACCAATTATTGTGGTCATGTGATATAGTGTTCACTCTTGCACAAGTCTTGGTACTGAGAAGTCAAATGTGAACTAGCTATGCTGAACTTTATATTAATTTTATTATAACTATTTTGGTGTTTCTTGGAAATTGAAGGTTGAGGTTGGTTGGTCTTATTTATTACTATTGATTCATCTTTTTTTGTGTCACAAATGAGCAATGCTTTTTTTTGTATTAATTTAGTATTTGTGTAAACATGTATATTGGACATGTACATTATAATCAAGATGGCAGCTTATATTTCTAATAATTTGGTAATTGGTACATCACTATTTACTATCTTGTATTATCACTTGTCATTTAACCATTTACAGTTAATAGAGCACAGTAAGAGTCAGTGAGAGAAACAGAGGTGTATTACCTATACAGTATATGAAACCTGATCCACAAATGGTATGTAAATATATGTATTCTTTGTTTAATTTCATTTAAGGTTTAAATATGTTCATAAATTATTTTAAGTAAGGACCAGGCTGGCTGACTTGACCACAGTGTGAATTTATAACATAATATAACCATAATTAATATATTAAACTCCTATATCATGTATACATCAATAAATGTATTATAATTTTGTTATTTACTTATATGTTGTATTTGTTAATTTACAGGGTTTGAAATATATATATAGTATACTCGATCACAGCCTTTTGTTGTATTGGACCCTTATACTGACTGCTGGTTGGGGCCAGTGTGGTTGGCCATTACTTTTATTTACGTATATGGGCTGGAGCCCACCTGGTCACCCAAGTGTCATTATTCTAACTAGAATTGATATCTCACTCTTACCAATCAAATGATGCAAGTGTCCTTATTCTAACTAGAATTGATCTCTAACTCTGACCAATCGAATAATAAAGATGTCCTTATTCTAATTAGAATTAATATTTCACTTTAACTAGAATTGATATCTCACTTTCACCAATCAAATAATGCAAGTGTCCTTATTCCTAATAGAATTGGTATCTCACTCTGACCAATCAAATAATAAATGTGTCCTTATCTTAAACAGAATTAATATCTCACTCTGACAAATCAAATAATGCAAGTGTCATTATTCTAACTAGAATTGATATCTCAGTCTGACCAATCAAATAATGCAAGTGTCATTATTCTAACTAGAATTGATATTTCACTCTGACCAATCAAATAATGCAAGTGTCCTTATTCTCACTAGAATTGATATCTCACTTTGACCAATCAAATAATGCAAATGACCTTATTCTTACTAGAATTGATGTCTCCCTCTCAGACCAATCAAATAATGCAAGTGTCCTTATTCTAACTAAAATTGATATCTCACTTTGACCAATCAAATAATGCAATTGCCATTATTCTAACTAAAATTGATATCTCATTTTAACCAATCAGATAATGTAAATGTCCTTATTCTAACTAGAATTGATATCTCAATTTCACAAATCAAATAATGCAAATGATCTTATTCTAACTAAAATTGATATCTCACTCTTAGACCAATCAAATTATGCAAGTGGCCTTATTCTAACTAGAATCAATATCTCACTCTGACCAATCAAATAATTCATGTGTTTTTTTTTTAATCTAACTAGAATTGATATCTCACTCTGACCAATCAAATAATGCAAGTATCCTTCTTCTTACTAGAACTGATATCTTACTCTGACCAATCAAATAATGCAAGTGTCCTTATTTAAACTAGAATTGATATCTCACTTTGACCAATCAAATAATGCAAGATTCCTAATTCTAACTAGAATTGATATCCCACTCCCTCCAATCAAATAATTCAAGTGTCCTTATTATAACTAGAATTGATATCTCACTATGACTTATCAAATAAGAAAGGTCTCCTTATTCTAACTAAAATTGATATCTCACTCTGACCAATCAAATAATAAAATTGTCCTTATTCTTACTAGAATTAATATTTCACATCACCAATCAAAAAATGCAAGTGAGCCTATTCTAAGTAGAATTGATATCTCACTCTAACAAATCAAATAAAAAAGGTCTCCTTATTCTAACTAGAATTGATATCTCACTCTGACCCATCAAATTATACTGGTGTGCTTATTCTAACTAAACTGACCAATCAAATAATTCTAACGAGAATTAATATTTCACAAAAATTTACCAATCAAATAATGCAAATGTCCTTATTCTTACTAAGACTGATATCTTTATCTGACCAATCAAATAATGCAAGTGTTCTTATTTTAACTAGAATTGTAATGTAACTCTAATCAATCAAATAATGCAAGTGTCCTCCTGTACAAAATTTTGGCATGGATTCTGGGCGTAAATGGCACGGAATTTTGATGGAATCATTGCTTTCTGGGCGGACTAAGCACGGAAAATCAAATTCCGTGTCAGTCCGCCCCACACGGAAAACATTTCTGTCACATTTCTGGGCGTAAAACAAGAACCATTCCGGGCGGAATTTTATTACGGGCGGAATTTTGTACTTGTACATTTTATCTTTGATTAAATTTCAAACATAACTTTTTTGGGGCGGAATTCAGAACTTTGATTTTTCTGTCGGGCGTAATTTCGATCTTAGTCATTTGAGGTGGAATTATTTTACACTTAGAGTATTTTGTTTGGATGTTTTCACTCAATACTTCATTAAATCAGTACACAAGAATGGAAATTCAACAAATAAAAGATAATTGGTGAAATAATCGAAGTGTTATTTATATCTGTTATTTAAACAGATTTTGCCAGACATTATTAATTTTCAAAAGAGCTAAAATCTTATGCTAAATATTATTTAATTTTCTATATCACATAACTTGATTTGAGGATTATATACATTACTAAAGATACTGACGTAAAATGTAAATTGCATGCTATTTAATTAAATGATTACATATCTAAATGCATGAGTAATAATTCTTCCCTGCAGCGTGTATCTATAGACTTTTTATTTCTTGGCAGCATGCAAGCAATAGTTAAATAAGTTAAGAATGCTATTTTAAACTTTAATTTATGTTTAAATGCCATATAAGATAGTACATAATCTACTAGCAAGTTTGTTTGGAAATTTGTAGATAGATTATTTACACTTTACTCTGCCACTTAGTTTATGTGTACAATAAACACATATATATTAATTATTTCCATTAAGTTTATGATTGTGTATAATACACACATATATAATCAATATTGTCCATAATGTACATACAGAATTAATGTGTTAAATATTATAACCACTGTGTGCTTGATAGTTTCTTATAAGTCAGGATACATAAATACTGCAGACACTATTAGAGGTTAAGATCAGACAAGACTAATGATAAACACTTGTGTTTCCCTCTATCTATGCATGACTAATCTCCTGATGGGGCATTCTGGTATCTGGCAGATAGACTGTTCCATGTGATTATAAGTAGAAACTTTGATGCTAAAGCATCAAGTTGCCGGATAGAAAAATGGTAATATTTTCATAAATATTAGTTAAACGGTTCAAGAATAAAAAATAGGAACAATAAGTACAACATGTAGTTAGTCACGTGGTTTTTACATGAACAGGGAGCATTTGTTTATAATTAGATGAATTAATTAAATATAATAGGTCTCATAAAATATAAACAACCAAATAATTAAAAAGTGCCATTTCAAGTATCATTCATTATCTATATATCATAAAATAGCAACGCTTGACACATAGAAAAAAGTAAAAGTAACACTAATATTCAATGACTGATCCTCAGGGATACGTTATTGATTCATTTTATGAAAATAGTTATGTTGCTTTTTAAGATGTCAATATGTGAATATTTCATTTCACTGAGCAAAGTTATCATATGTTTGAATTTTTGAGATTACTGAAAAACAATTGTTCAATAATTGATATGCTTTTATTTTCAGATTTTAAGGGCTTCTCCTACCATAGGTATAATATTAAACTGTTACCAATATAATCGCTGGTTTCTTCCGGCAACTAATTAAGGTAGTCTGAGCAGTATATATTTCAAAACAATCAGTTTAGAAGGTAATTGACACTTTAATTCTCTTTCAAATTCTACATTTATTTATCATAATGATATGTTAATACACTCAATAAAATTAATGTAAAAACTAAACTGTGTCCAAAGGACACGGATGCCCCCACTAACAACATATATATGGTATATAGTGAAAAAAATCAACAAAGGGCCATACTTCTGTTAAATTTGGTTGCAGCAAAAATTCCTTCCTTTACTGCCATCTACACATTAAGGTTGTTCATCCTTAAAAGTTTAGGCAGAATCTGCCATTCAGTTTAAGAGGAGTTGCGTTCACAAAATTTCTATATGGTATATAGTGAAAAAATCAACAAAGGGCAATAATTCTGTTAAATTTGTCGCAGCAAAAATTCCTTCCTTAACTGCCATCTACACATTAAGGTTGTTAATCCTTGGAAGTTTAACCAAAATCTGCCATCCGGTTAAAGAGGAGTTGCGTTCAAAAAATTTCTACATAGTATATAGTGAAAAAATCAACAAAGGGCCATAATTCTGTTAAATTTGGTCGCAGCAAAAATTCCTTCCTTAACTACCATCTACATATTCAGGTTGTTCATCCCTGAAAGTTTAAGCAAAATCTGCCATCCGGTTTAGGAGGAGTTGCGTTAACAAGATTTCGGGACTTACGGACAGACAGACGGACGGACGGGCAGCGTGACGGACGGACGGACAAGTGCAACGTTATATGCTCCCTCTCTGTGGGGGCATACTACGATTGGGGGGACTGTTTTGGCATTCTTTTACATAATGATGGACCAGTCTGATTTAACTGTTGAACAATTTCAAATTTCAGATATTTAGGTCAGCTGCTTATTGAATCCCACCACAGAGGATCTCGTTGGTATTTTTACAATTTTGGAGATTTCATCTTGTTTATGAATGCCACAGTGAACATATCTTGGAAGTTTCAAAGAAAACATTTATTTAAATGTGACAAGATTGGGGAAATGTTTGGTTGTTGTAAATGATGTCACCTGAGGAAGGGAGTTTATACAAAAGAATCATAGTAAAAAGTTTCAGGTAAATAACTTTTAGATATATCTATGCAAAAAATGGTTATTATAGACAATCAAAATATATTGTGGCAGGAAGCAAAAATTGTTTCTATACAATATGGTTGACAACTATAAAGTAATGTTGATAAAATTATTATTCAAACTACATTTACATGCTGTGAATAATTATTTGATTATTAAATCTAGATGTTTTACCAAAATTATTTGTTTAAAGATCATGGTCCATAGACTTGCCTCTGAGCTTATGTGCTAAATTTTTATAAGATCTCACAAGTTATATACAACTTAAATTATGAGAATATATAATTGCAGACTGGGTCATTGAAGACTGTGAAAATTTGCCAACTTAGTGTTTAAAGTCTTTGAGTCTTAAAAGGTATAGATCTACATGTATTTTTATATATCTGAACAAACCATTTTTAGAGTACAATTGTTTCCCAGATAATCTAAAGATTTTCAATTTTGACATCAAAAGTGTAATTACTAAAGTACTCATAATGGGCAATTATTTTACATCTTTTGCTTATTGTGAAATGATGTTGCTATAGTATTTTTGAAACTGCATTTGCTTGAAAACAGTGGTTTAACACTCAAGATGAAATATTATAATGGAACACAATTGTATTTTACCATAGAACAGAATTTGTTTCCATTCTTTTTAAATCAATTGTAATTTATGTCCTTAAAGGTGAACGCATTACTACAAGACGTGTCACTAGGAAACACTTCCACGGGACGGTAGCTGACATAATGAGGACAAATTGTGGTTTTGATAATTAGTTTGAAAGAAAGTTTTGGTTTGTGACAGACAACATAATAGTTGAAATCAAGGTGATCAGTACCTACAAAAGTCATGTACAGATACTTGCACTTTGAAAAACTGTTTGTGACACTTGACGTTAATGTAGGATGCATTCTGTATGTAGACAAAAAGGATATCTTATATTTTTGAAGAATAATCAAAATGTGTCCATGCTCAGATTCCGCGCCAAGATTCCGTACCTAGATTTCGTGCCTAAATTCTGTGCCATTTCCGTCCAGAATCCGTGCCAGGAATTCCGTGCCAAGAATTATGTGCCAAATATTCCGTGCCTAAAATTCGGTTCAAAATTCCGCACAGAATTTTTTCCTGCTCATTTACATATTTCTTGACAAATTCCGTGCCATTTCCACCCAGAATCCGCCCGTAAAATGAACCCTTATCATATACTGAAAATTATGAAGGAATTTTAACTTTCTGAGCGTAATCCGTGCTGAAAGTCCGCCCGAATTCCAGGCATAACATTTCGTACAGGCTTGAAGTTATTCTAACTAGAATTGATATCTCATTCTGAGCAATCAAATATGCAAGTGTCCTTATCTAAACTAGAATTGATTTCTCATTAATACAGATGTCCTTATTCTAACTAGAATTGATATCTCACTCTTTCCAATTAAACAAGAGGGCCAATATGGCCCTTGATTGCTCACCTGAACCATTTAACTCATCCGAGCAATTACAGGACAAGCATCCTGAAGAGATGACAGTTGAGCCAAAATGTGACCTCAAGAGTGTTAACAAGGTTTTTTCATATGTGAGCAGTGTGACTTAGTGTGACTTCTTCAGGGATTGTGTAATTTTCTATTTTATGATAACGTTCGTGTTATTTTTGCCGTGTGGCGGCTGTAAAAAGTTTCCCCTTACATTAAATCAATGATATTATATTTCCGATCCTTCAACATTGTTCAGCACGACATTATTGTTGTGCTTGTGGTATTTTTTGTTTAAATTTTTCGGCATTTTCTAGTTGGGTGGTTCCAATATTCCTACTTGAATAATGTTGAATCACCCTTAGGATATGTTGCCTGCTTTTTAAATTTGTCTTTTGACGTCTTATCTGTGATATGCAGGCTTCATAACCTCGGATCCCCTTTCAAAATTCCATTTTATTTAGTTCCGCCCATTGTCTTCTCGTGTTCAGGACACGCGCATTCTTTTACTATGGGACCATACGCCGCTTTTCATTGAATGTCTCTACTGTGTCACATTGAAGGTTCCATGAAAACCGCCGTATGAACACATCTGCGGATGTTTCTAAATTCAAAATTTCACCATTTAAGTGTTTAAATGTTGAATTCTGCTTAAGCCGGTGCTAGGGGGCGTGGACTGTAACTTGCACTTTCCAGTACCGTCCATGAACAGGCTCAATCAAACCGAGCCTGCAACATTTTTAATTTTTCCTTGTTGAGCTTTCTTTAGGGATGGTGTAATTATCTATTTTATGATCACGTCCGTGTTATTTGTGCCGTGTTGCGGCTGTAAAAAGTCTTCCCGTACATTTAATCAATGATGTTATATTTTCGATCCTTTAAGATCGTTCAGCATGACATTATTGTTGTGGTTGTGGTATTTTTTGCTTCAATTTTTCGGCATTTTCTAGTTGGGTGGTTCCAATATTCCTACTTGAATAATGTTGAATCACCCTTAGGATATGTTGCCTGCTTTTTAAATGTGTCTTTTGATGTCTTATCTGTGATATGCAGGCTTCATAACCTCGGATCCCCTTTCAAAATTCCATTTTATTTAGTTCCGTCCATTGTTTTCTCGTTTAGGGCACACGCATTCTTTTACATGGGGACCATACGCTGCTTTTCACGGAATGACACTACTGTGTCACATTGAAGGTTCCATGATAACCGCCGTATGAACACATCTAAATTCAAAATTTCACCATTTTAGTGTTTAAATGTTGAATTCTGCTTAAGCCGGTGCTAGGTGGCGTGGACGGTAACTTGCACTTTGCAGTACCATCCATGAACAGGCTCAATCAAACCGAGCCTGCAACATTTTCAATTTTGCCATTTTGGGCTTTCTTTAGGGATTTCTTTAGGGATTCTGTTATTATCTATTTTAGTTTTTGACCCCAGGGGACCAATATTCGAACTTGGCCTAGAAATCATAAAAAAAACTTTCAGACCAATTTCTATGATATTTGGATCAAAACAGAAGCCACTAGAGTGCAAACAAGATTTTTCTATTTTTAGCTCTCGTGACCTTGTTTTTCATCCGATATGACCCATGTGCAAACTCATCTAAGCAATTACATAGAAAAGCATCATGACCATGTCTGATGATAATTGAGTAAAAAATGTGTCCACTAGAGTGTTAACAATGTTTTTCCATATTTGAGCGGTGTGACCTTATTTTTGACAGCAGGTGACCCATATTCAAACTAGATCTAGAAAACATCAAAACATACTTTCAGACCAATTTCAAGGATATTTGGATCAAAACAGTAAATGTTTCTATTTTTAGCTCCTGCGACCTAGTTTTTCATCTAAGATGACCCATGTTCCAACTCATCTGAGTAATTACCTAGCCAAACATCCTGACAAAATTTGATGATGATTGAGGCAAAACTACGACCACTATAGTGTTAACGAACAAATGTGTACGGACAACAGATTTTTAACAGTCCTTAAAGCTCACCCTGAGCAAGCTCAGTATGTATTTTAGTCATTCAACGCGACTGAGAAGAATTCAAGATATGATGAAGTTTTACTGAATTAAGTTGAACAGATCGTCAGATGTGCAACTTGGCGCGCATCAACTTCATTAAAATGCACAATCTGCAAAAGTTATAAGCAGAAATGTTTCGAGTGTCAAGATAAGGATGATATTATATTTTGCTTCTTTCTCCCTTATTCAGGTCACCAAAATTTTTATTTCACAGTAATAATCTATGAAGTCGTACATAATGTAAAACTTACCTTTCAAAGGACCTGGTTTGGATTGTTCTGTATCTGCTGGGATTTTGTCTGCTAGTTTGGACTGTGGTTTGGTTTCAGAATCTTCTGTAGGTGGTGGTGACATCTTTGGATAAGGCTGAAATATCAGAATCTTGTCATTTCTATATATTTTGTAACTTTACTAATTTTTCACTAATCATCGGTTAATGAACTTCAGTTTTATAATATGAGCAGCATCATGACAAAACCAACATAACGCGTTTTGCGACCAGCATTTATCCAGACCAGCCTTCGCCTCCGCGCAGTCTGATCAAGATCCATGCTGTTCGCCTACCACCCCTATCACAAGTAGAAAAACAACAGCATAGATCCTGATCAGAACTGGCGGATGCACAGGCTGGTCTGGATCCTTGCTGGTCGCAAACGCATGATGATAGTTTTGTCATGTCACGGCTCAAATAAAGATTTTCAAATATTTCTGTATTATTTTAGAGTCTGGTTTAGAAAAAAAACGAATAATAAAAAAAAAATATCAAATTTTTTTATCTCTATGTTTGAACAATATTTTCAGCCTTTCTCTAATTAGCACAATCTTTTAAGTGTTTCATTTATTGACTTTATCCATTTAGCATTCATGGAAATCTGTACAACGAAGATCTAACAATTATCTTACTCAGCAAATAAATTATAATAAAACCCTTAACATATCACTTAAAATGCATATACAGTAAATTTCAAAAAACAATCCATGTCTTTCCCAGTCTTAAATAGAAAGTATAATCTGCTCACTACAACATGTTTTCATGATCATTTGATTATGATCAGAATCTTGTCATTTCTATATATTTTGTAACTTTACTAATTTTTCACTAATCATCAGTTAATGAACTTCAGTTTTATAATATGAGCAGCATCATGACAAAACCAACATAACGCGTTTTGCGACCAGCATTTATCCAGACCAGCCTTCGCCTCCGCGCAGTCTGATCAAGATCCATGCTGTTCGCCTACCACCCCTATCACAAGTAGAAAAACAACAGCATAGATCCTGATCAGAACTGGCGGATGCACAGGCTGGTCTGGATCCTTGCTGGTCGCAAACGCATGATGATAGTTTTGTCATGTCACGGCTCAAATAAAGATTTTCAAATATTTCTGTATTATTTTAGAGTCTGGTTTAGAAAAAAAACGAATAATAAAAAAAAAATATCAAATTTTTTTATCTCTATGTTTGAACAATATTTTCAGCCTTTCTCTAATTAGCACAATCTTTTAAGTGTTTCATTTATTGACTTTATCCATTTAGCATTCATGGAAATCTGTACAACGAAGATCTAACAATTATCTTACTCAGCAAATAAATTATAATAAAACCCTTAACATATCACTTAAAATGCATATACAGGAAATTTCAAAAACAATCCATGTCTTTCCCAGTCTTAAATAGAAAGTATAATCTGCTCACTACAACATGTTTTCATGATCATTTGATTATAACAAAAAAATCCTGACACGATAAAATTTGATAAAAAGAAGAAAGTAATGAAAGGCAAACCACTCTTACCTCTTCTTTGATGATTTCTACATAGTTATCTTGAAAGACACATATTTGACCATTTAACTCCCCCTTCCAACATCCACTTTCTTTTAAATCTTTATCTAGACTATTTTTAGTATCTCCTTTAGTCTGTGTAAGTTCATCCTTATGTTTAGCTTCATAGGAGTACTTGACAATTGCCTTGAATTTCATTGCCTTTGTTTCTGAAACACAATACAAAATTCAACTTACATTACTTTAATATATTCATAATTATGTACGATACAAATTATATGTTAAATCACACTATTAATATGCTATATATATTTTGCATTTCTGTACATGCATGGTATATAATTTGCAAAACAAATTTCTTTGTTGGGTTTTACATTGCACAAACACAGGTGACTTTCCAGCTTTATTGGTGAAGGAAGACTAGTCAAGTGCCCAGTTCCATGCACTATTACAGGCACAAGCATGCATCTGAGAAAATCAAATACTGCAAGTGTTCTTATTTTAACTAGAATTGTAATGTCACTCTAACCAATCAAATAATGCAAGTGTCCTTATTCTAACTAGAATTGATATCTTATTTCGAGCAATCAAATATGCAAGTGTCTTCATCTAAACTAGAATTGATTTCTCATTAATACAGATGTCCTTATTCTAACTAGAATTGATATCTCACTCTTACCAATTAAACAAGATGGCCAATATGGCCCTGGATTGCTCACCTGAACCATTTAACTCATCCGAGCAATTATAGGACAAGCATCATGAAGAGATGACATTTTAGTCAAAAATGTGGCCTCAACAGTGTTAACAAGGTTTATTCATATGTGAGCAGTGTGACTTAGTTTTTGACCCCAGGGGACCAATATTCGAACTTGGCCTAGAAATCATCAAAAAACTTTCAGACCAATTTCCAGGATATTTGGATCAAAACAGAAGCCACTAGAGTGCGAACAAGATTTTTATATTTCTAGCTCTCGTGACCTAGTTTTTCATCCGATATGACCCATGTGCAAACTCATCTAAGCAATTACATAGAAAAGCATCATGACCATGTCTGATGATAATTGAGTAACAAATGTGTCCACTAGAGTGTTAACAATGTTTTTCCATATTTGAGCGGTGTGACCTAATTTTTGACAGCAGGTGACCCATATTCAAACTAGATCTAGAAAACATCAAAACATACTTTCAGACCAATTTCAAGGATATTTGGATCAAAACAGTAAATGTTTCTATTTTTAGCTCCTGCGACCTAGTTTTTCATCTAAGATGACCCATGTTCCAACTCATCTGAGTAATTACCTAGCCAAACATCCTGACAAAATTTGATGATGATTGAGGCAAAACTACGACCACTATAGTGTTAACGAACAAATGTGTACGGACAACAGATTTTTAACAATCCTTAAAGCTCACCCTGAGCAAGCTCAGTATGTATTTTAGTCATTCAACGCGACTGAGAAGCATTCAAGATATGATGAAGTTTTACTGAATTAAGTTGAACAGATCGTCAGATGTGCAACTTGGCGCGCATCAACTTCATTAAAATGCACAATCTGCAAAAGTTATAAGCAGAAATGTTTCAAGTGTCAAGATAAGGATGATATTATATTTTGCTTCTTTCTCCCTTATTCAGGTCACCAAAATTTTTATTTCACAGTTATAATCTATGAAGTCATACATAATGTAAAACTTACCTTTCACAGGTCCTGGTTCGGATTGTTCTGTATCTGCTGGGATTTTGTCTGGTAGTTTGGACCGTGGTTTGGTTTCAGAGGCTTTTGTAGGTGGTGGTGGCATCTTTGGATAAGGCTGAAATATCAGAATCTTGTCATTTCTATATATTTTGTAACTTTACTAATTTTTCACTAATCATCAGTTAATGAACTTCAGATTTATAATATGAGCAGCATCATGACAAAACCAACATAACGCGTTTGCGACCAGCATTTATCCAGACCAGCCTTCGCCTCCGCGCAGTCTGATCAAGATCCATGCTGTTCGCCTACCACCCCTATCACAAGTAGAAAAACAACAGCATGGATCCTGATCAGAACTGGCGGATGCACAGGCTGGTCTGGATCCTTGCTGGTCGCAAACGCATGATGATAGTTTTGTCATGTCACGGCTCAAATAAAGATTTTCAAATATTTCTGTATTATTTTAGAGTCTGGTTTAGAAAAAAAACGAATAATAAAAAAAAATATCAAATTTTTTTATCTCTATGTTTGAACAATATTTTCAGCCTTTCTCTGTTTAGCACAATCTTTCAAGTGTTTCATTTATTGACTTTATCCATTTAGCATTCAAGGAAATCTGTACAACGAAGATCTAACAATTATCTTACTCAGCAAATAAATTATAATAAAACCCTTAACATATCACTTAAAATGCATATACAGTAAATTTCAAAAACAATCCATGTCTTTCCCAGTCTTAAATAGAAAGTATAATCTGCTCACTACAACATGTTTTCATGATCATTTGATTATAACAAAAAAATCCTGACACGATAAAATTTGATAAAAAGAAGAAAGTAATGAAAGGCAAACCACTCTTACCTCTTCTTTGATGATTTCTACATAGTTATCTTGAAAGACACATATTTGACCATTTAACTCCCCCTTCCAACATCCACTTTCTTCTAAATCTTTATCTAGACTATTTTTAGTATCTCCTTTAGTCTGTGTAAGTTCATCCTTATGTTTAGCTTCATAGGAGTACTTGACAATTGCCTTGAATTTCATTGCCTTTGTTTCTGAAACACAATACAAAATTCAACTTACATTACTTTAATATATTCATAATTATGTACGATACAAATTATTTGTTAAATCACACTATTAATATGCTATATATATTTTGCATTTCTGTACATGCATGGTATATAATTTGCAAAACAAATTTCTTTGTTGGGTTTTACATTGCACAAACACAGGTGACTTTCCAGCTTTATTGGTGAAGGAAGACTAGTCAAGTGCCCAGTTCCATGCACTATTACAGGCACAAGCATGCATCTGAGAAAATCAAATACTGCAAGTGTTCTTATTTTAACTAGAATTGTAATGTCACTCTAACCAATCAAATAATGCAAGTGTCCTTATTCTAACTAGAATTGATATCTTATTTCGAGCAATCAAATATGCAAGTGTCCTCATCTAAACTAGAATTGATTTCTCATTAATACAGATGTCCTTATTCTAACTAGAATTGATATCTCACTCTTACCAATTAAACAAGATGGCCAATATGGCCCTGGATTGCTCACCTGAACCATTTAACTCATCCGAGCAATTATAGGACAAGCATCATGAAGAGATGACATTTTAGTCAAAAATGTGGCCTCAACAGTGTTAACAAGGTTTATTCATATGTGAGCAGTGTGACTTAGTTTTTGACCCCAGGGGACCAATATTCGAACTTGGCCTAGAAATCATCAAAAAACTTTCAGACCAATTTCCAGGATATTTGGATCAAAACAGAAGCCACTAGAGTGCGAACAAGATTTTTATATTTCTAGCTCTCGTGACCTAGTTTTTCATCCGATATGACCCATGTGCAAACTCATCTAAGCAATTACATAGAAAAGCATCATGACCATGTCTGATGATAATTGAGTAACAAATGTGTCCACTAGAGTGTTAACAATGTTTTTCCATATTTGAGCGGTGTGACCTAATTTTTGACAGCAGGTGACCCATATTCAAACTAGATCTAGAAAACATCAAAACATACTTTCAGACCAATTTCAAGGATATTTGGATCAAAACAGTAAATGTTTCTATTTTTAGCTCCTGCGACCTAGTTTTTCATCTAAGATGACCCATGTTCCAACTCATCTGAGTAATTACCTAGCCAAACATCCTGACAAAATTTGATGATGATTGAGGCAAAACTACGACCACTATAGTGTTAACGAACAAATGTGTACGGACAACAGATTTTTAACAATCCTTAAAGCTCACCCTGAGCAAGCTCAGTATGTATTTTAGTCATTCAACGCGACTGAGAAGCATTCAAGATATGATGAAGTTTTACTGAATTAAGTTGAACAGATCGTCAGATGTGCAACTTGGCGCGCATCAACTTCATTAAAATGCACAATCTGCAAAAGTTATAAGCAGAAATGTTTCAAGTGTCAAGATAAGGATGATATTATATTTTGCTTCTTTCTCCCTTATTCAGGTCACCAAAATTTTTATTTCACAGTAATAATCTATGAAGTCGTACATAATGTAAAACTTACCTTTCAAAGGACCTGGTTTGGATTGTTCTGTATCTGCTGGGAATTTGTCTGGTAGTTTGGACTGTGGTTTGGTTTCAGAATCTTCTGTAGGTGGTGATGGCATCTTTGGATAAGGCTGAAATATCAGAATCTTGTCATTTCTATATATTTTGTAACTTTACTAATTTTTCACTAATCATCAGTTAATGAACTTCAGATTTATAATATGAGCAGCATCATGACAAAACCAACATAACGCGTTTGCGACCAGCATTTATCCAGACCAGCCTTCGCCTCCGCGCAGTCTGATCAAGATCCATGCTGTTCGCCTACCACCCCTATCACAAGTAGAAAAACAACAGCATGGATCCTGATCAGAACTGGCGGATGCACAGGCTGGTCTGGATCCTTGCTGGTCGCAAACGCATGATGATAGTTTTGTCATGTCACGGCTCAAATAAAGATTTTCAAATATTTCTGTATTATTTTAGAGTCTGGTTTAGAAAAAAAACGAATAATAAAAAAAAATATCAAATTTTTTTATCTCTATGTTTGAACAATATTTTCAGCCTTTCTCTGTTTAGCACAATCTTTCAAGTGTTTCATTTATTGACTTTATCCATTTAGCATTCAGGAAATCTGTACAACGAAGATCTAACAATTATCTTACTCAGCAAATAAATTATAATAAAACCCTTAACATATCACTTAAAATGCATATACAGTAAATTTCAAAAACAATCCATGTCTTTCCCAGTATTAAATAGAAAGTATAATCTGCTCACTACAACATGTTTTCATGATCATTTGATTATAACAAAAAAATCCTGACACGATAAAATTTGATAAAAAGAAGAAAGTAATGAAAGGCAAACCACTCTTACCTCTTCTTTGATGATTTCTACATAGTTATCTTGAAAGACACATATTTGACCATTTAACTCCCCCTTCCAACATCCACTTTCTTTTAAATCTTTATCTAGACTATTTTTAGTATCTCCTTTAGTCTGTGTAAGTTCATCCTTATGTTTAGCTTCATAGGAGTACTTGACAATTGCCTTGAATTTCATTGCCTTTGTTTCTGAAACACAATACAAAATTCAACTTACATTACTTTAATATATTCATAATTATGTATGATACAAATTATATGTTAAATCACACTATTAATATGCTATATATATTTTGCATTTCTGTACATGCATGGTATATAATTTGCAAAACAAATTTCTTTGTTGGGTTTTACATTGCACAAACACAGGTGACTTTCCAGCTTTATTGGTGAAGGAAGACTAGTCAAGTGCCCAGTTCCATGCACTATTACAGGCACAAGCAGGCATCTGAGAAAATCAAATACTGCAAGTGTTCTTATTTTAACTAGAATTGTAATGTCACTCTTACCAATCAAATAATTCAAGTGTCCTTATTCTAACTAGAATTGATATCTCATTTCGAGCAATCAAATATGCAAGTGTCCTCATCTAAACTAGAATTGATTTCTCATTAATACAGATGTCCTTATTCTAACTAGAATTGATATCTCACTCTTACCAATTAAACAAGATGGCCAATATGGCCCTGGATTGCTCACCTGAACCATTTAACTCATCCGAGCAATTATAGGACAAGCATCCTGAAGAGATGACATTTGAGTCAAAAATGTGGCCTCAACAGTGTTAACAAGGTTTATTCATATGTGAGCAGTGTGACTTAGTTTTTGACCCCAGGGGACCAATATTCGAACTTGGCCTAGAAATCATCAAAAAACTTTCAGACCAATTTCCAGGATATTTGGATCAAAACAGAAGCCACTAGAGTGCGAACAAGATTTTTATATTTCTAGCTCTCGTGACCTAGTTTTTCATCCGATATGACCCATGTGCAAACTCATCTAAGCAATTACATAGAAAAGCATCATGACCATGTCTGATGATAATTGAGTAACAAATGTGTCCACTAGAGTGTTAACAATGTTTTTCCATATTTGAGCGGTGTGACCTAATTTTTGACAGCAGGTGACCCATATTCAAACTAGGTATAGAAAACATCAAAACA